ACTAAGTATTAATAAGTTAAGACGTTTCGGTCCATTCATATACGTCTTAGCTCAACACCGCGACTGGACCTCGTCAGTATGACGATCATGGTGTGCAGAGATGAGAAAAGAGAAGGAATGGAAGGAAATTATTTCAGTGAAGCTGCATTTGAAAAAAGTTTTTTCAGATTTCGCTTTGCTAAGCTGAAAAAATGAATTGTAACTATTTATTTTCGTTTACTTCAGACTGGTTATATGTTTGGCAAGGGCATTTATTTTGCTGATATGGCAACGAAATCGGCCAACTACTGCTATCCACAGCCGAGCAAGCCGGGTCTTCTTGTGCTAGCGCAAGTTGCACTGGGTGAAATGAATGAGCTGTTGCATGCTGATTACAACGCGGACAAGCTGCCTGCTGGCAAACACAGCACCAAAGGCCTCGGCTCTGTTGGCCCAGATCCGGAAACATATATCACCCTGTAAGCTTGCTCTATCTTTTCGTCATTTTTTGTGATTCCAAGTTCGTTAATTTTTCTCGACAGTGAATTTATATCACTGCGTATTGGATGGTCAGGGCTTGCTCCTATGCAATTTTTGGAAAAGAATTCATCAAAAGTCTTCTCAGAGAATGATTGATATTGGAAGCTGTTATCTCCCGAGCCGTTTCGAAATACTAGTGGTGCTTCAGGACGTGTTTTGGGCAGCCCGACAAATTTTATTTGATATTTCATTAATGCAGCTTCTCCAACTCACCGGGAGGATTTTTCTTTTGGCGAGCAGCTTTTTTTAGCTTAGAGTGTTAAACTAGTTATGCGTTTTGTGCTGTGTAACTATTTTTGCATAGACAAAAGTACAAAGCAGTGAAAATCATTAATAAGCAATCGTTCGATGGACTGAATTGCACAAAACGCATGATCGTATCGGCTAGTCTGATGCGCGTTGCTATTTATTTAATATGAAACGAGAGTACTTTTACTTATACATGAGGTTTATGGAAATTGCTGAGGATCATGGGGATTGATTGGGACCATGAGGGTTGGTGAGGTTCAAGCTGAGAGGAGATTAAGCTGAAATTTTGCTGCGGACCTCAAAATACGATTCAGTAAAGTATGGCTGTTCATGTAGCCAAGAACCAACAAGTTTCCTGTATAATAGTACAGTATTATTATATTTGGCGATATTGTTGCACTGCTTTCACCTGTAACCGTAATACTCGGGAGCTTACCATTTTCATTTTTGCAGAGACGATGGCTGTGAGGTACCATGTGGCAAGCCAATTACAATAAATAGAAGCGAGCAATGCTCACTGAACTACAATGAATATATAGTGTACGATGTGAAGCAAGTTTGGATTCGTTACCTCGTCGAAGTGGACTTCGTTTTTGACTAAAAAAAACTGCTGAAAGCACCTCAAGCTGTGGAACAGTGGCGTCTTTTTTTTTTAGAAATCTACGTATTAAGCGATATGTATATATATTTTTTATGCTTTGGCAGCTTCACCTTTCGCTTTCAATGCCAATTAAGATATTTAGTGAGCGAACAATTAATACTTTTAAATATTAGGCACCAAATTATCGATTTCACCA